AGAAAAAGGAGAGAATGCTCTACTGAGTTTCCAATCAGTTCTGGAAATATGAAGCCTTAGTTATTTTCAGTATTTAGGTTGAACGAAAATACGATAAAAATTCAGTTGTTTTGCAGAAAGGTGTAAAAGTGGGAAACTCTTTAGGATTTCTGGATACTTTTGTTCAACAACCCCCAATAAAACCTTAAGTAACCAAATTTTTTTGTAACAGTATGAGAAACATGCCCTAGAGAATGTACTTAGGCCCAAGTACTTCGTCTGCGTAATGAAGCCGGTACTTGCCTTTTCCCTAGAAGTAAATTTAGCTGTAAGTACTTGCCCTTACTTGCCAAGTACTTTCAGAAAGTACTTCTTAGCAATAAGACAAGTATTTCGATCATTAAAAAGTACTCAGTAAGTAACCAAGTACTTGTATCAAGTACGGTCTCTAGTACGGGTATGCATCTTCGTTTTTCAAACAGGTACCTGTTGTCATTTGCTATTGGCATTGAATCATCTAGCTCCCGGTACTTAAACAATGAAGTTGAAGAATGTAATTGTTTAAACTGACATGTAGATTCTACATAATAGTCAGTGTTTATGTCATCATCAGTGATCATGTTTGAACAGGTTTCTCCAAATAACGAAAATTCCATATCATCATCACATTCATATTTTAGCATTTCTTTTTGTTCTTGTTTCGTAACTACTAAATTAGATATTGCATTTGAAAACTCTATTTTTGCCTTGTCCAAGTAATCTGTTGCTTCTGTAGTAATAAACAGGTAACATTCAACATGGTTATTTACTTGATTGACTGAAATGATTTGTCCCTTAAGCCTAATATGTAACTGAGCAACGCATCAGTCATGTATTATGTATGAATAAGAAATTAAATAGATATATAGGATATACAGGCTGATATCCAGGCGAAAGTCAGCTGACACACAGTTGCAGATCAGGAAGCGCCTAAGACTTTGTTAATCACACTTCCATCCTTAAACAAGGACGAAAGAGTTTCTGCTAAATTTTTGTTTTCCTAATTTCTTTAGAGACTTGGTTTGTAGTTCCCTGCCTATACCTTCCTACCCGATCTCCAGACCATATCTGTGACACTATACCGTCTACTTCTGACTTTACCTATTTCATTTTTTTTTCTTTTCTTCCTGCTAACTCACAAACAAACACATCCTTGTTCATTTTACGGCCCTTTCATCTTAGTCAAGGGAGTATAAAACCCAAACATATAATGCTTTTATCTTTTAACAGAACTTTATCGAACAATTTGTTTTCGTTCTCTGCGTATTTCTTTTTTAATATAAAACTGAAACCAAACCTGATGCGGGAATTACAGGCGTGTATATTCTGTCATTGTTGTTGTTATTATTACTATTATTTCGATCACTTTCAAACAGGTTAATCGATGTAGGCATTTTCCGTGTTGAAGGACAAAGTACACTTTTTCTTACAGTTGGAGTACGTGCCATTTGGCAAAACTGTACTTGTTCGTCCTATAAACAAGATAACAAAATTACAATTTCCTTTTTTACGCCGAAAGTTCATATATACCGTTTGGTTTACTAAACTATCATGAACTTTTTCGTCAGACAGGTCTGTCACAGGGGCTTTTCGCACAGCATTTTCTTGTTCTATATATATATATATATATATAAACAGAAAACAATCAAACACAAAGCCTCAGGTTTGGAATAAAAATTATGATACGTACTATTAACCAACTCGGACGCTTTTCGTAATATAAAACTATCAAAAAAAATATCATAGAATTTTGTAAAAAACTTTTTTGTCATTCTCTTACCTACTATCGTCCATTCTTTTTTCCAATGAACTCTTGCGATCTGCCGTTTCTCTTCCAGTATCTATTAGGAAAAGAAGTTAACCTTTATGGGCGATTCAATCAGTAACTAAACTGATATAAAGGACTAATAGTTATAGTGACTAAACCGTAGTCATCAAATCAGAGGAGTTTCCGCCTTGGCTTTTTTCCTCAGAACTGAGCTAGAGTTATAGAAACTGTTTCAAAGAGGTGTTTGGTAATTCCGCGTCTAATGATGACATCAGTTTTTCTTTGCTCCCACACTTCATAATGGGTTCCTAGAAAAGCGTTCAATACTATTAGGAGAGCGTTTCCAGCAAGAGTTGGAAAGTCGGGCGTTTGAAGTAGCTCTGCAAAGGTTAGCAGTGTAATAAAGAACCTCTTTTGAATGACACGTCTCGCAGATTTACGCGATTTTCTGACGGAGATATTTCATTTTTATTAATCTGAGACGCTTTGCATACGTGCTACCATACTCATAAGCTTGCAAGCCTATATCTCTGAAAGAAAACATCGCGCAAAGCTGCGAGAGGTGTCATGCAAAAGAGATTACCTATTGTACACTACTGATCAGGGCAATTTCAAACGTCCTGTTATCCAGGAGATTCCCAGAAAATCAGTTTTCAGGATCTCACAAAGCTTGAGTATGAGAACTTCAAAACTTGAAACACTAGTAGTACTAGAGATGTTATCATAGCAAAAAACAATTCTGAAAGAATCGGACGGGAGCTTTGGAAAAAAGCGAGCTCAAAATATTCAGACTACCGCAACACCTTCTAGAACCTATAAATAAAAGCCTAAGTAAGGTACAAGCCTCATTCTTATGTCATTAAAAAGTGCATAATTCATGCTTCATTTTGACCATAAGCAAGTCTACCGTTCATGCTTCCACCGCCTCAACAACAAGAAAGCAATGAGGAAACAGAGCAGCTAAGCCTTCTTGAATGCGATTATTAGAGAACTGATGAATTTCGCACATACTGGTCGAAAGGCCAACAGCAGCGTATGAAACGAGAATATGCATCAGCATAACATGATCAGACATACCGTTACAACACGAAAGTTATCTATAATTCTTCGCAATCTGCTCCTATGACAACTGAAAAACTACCAGATAAGTAAATTATAATATACCGATAAATGTAGTGAAAAATGCTCATAATTTCAATTTTCCTCCGTTCAAAATTGTTTTCCAATCGTTACCTCCCCATTACGCAAGAATTATAAAGGTCATCAACTGAATCAACGAACATGTCAGAACAGACTTGCAATAGAACTAAGTATTTCATAGGAGTGTCATACACCAACTCAAAGTTCTTATTGTTCGTCGATGATTCAAAAACGTAAGACTTTCTATTCACTCTGAATAACTGACCCGCTAAAATTCTGGAACAACCGAACTCCATTGACTTACCTACACAGAGTCCGATTCAATACTTTGTCGTAATCAAAGGTGTACCTTGCAATACCGAGGAAGGAAAAATTTGCATCTGTTGCGGGAGAGGTACACAACAGTTGTCAAGACTAAATCAATATTTGAAAAAACGCCATTTTCAAACGACAATGGTCCGAGTTGATTCCACTACGTCGAAAGAGCTCGAAAAAGTAAGACAAGAAGGCAGAGTGTTCGTCGGCTACACAGCTTATAGCATTGAAAATTATCAAGCTCCACCAAGGATGCTTGAAAGTGTTTGCAGCCGGATCACTACATGAACGAGTGCAAGTTGAATACATTCAAGTGCAGCAACTCAGGTCGAAATTATGATACTACAGTCGACTGTACTAAGCCAATCTGCTGTCCAAACTGTTATAACGATCATCGTACGCGAACTTCTTCTTGTCCGATTATCATCGAATATCGATGACAGCTTCTCGAGCGTTTAAAAGCCTTCGAAAATTGTAATGCGTAATCACCAATTACTTCTCCAAATAATGCTTCATTTCTAACAACTGTCACTTATGCACGAGTGTTGCAGGACTCAATTTCCTCACTGCGAACTACAACGAGTCAGACCAATCTATTATATCAAAACTGTTAAGTTCACACAAGTTTGATGATGTTAGTACAGAGGGCCTTGACAAAAATCTTGCAGTCAGTGAGGAGGATGCGAAAAATTGTAACCGTTGTAAGTGAGTTATTGAAAACTGTAGCCACCGCAACCGTTTTGGTCGGTCCCGAAAACAGGAAATTTTCTCAAAATTTGAAACAGCTGCGAAACTTTTCAACAACAAAGTAATTGAATACTTAACATCCATAGGGACTTGGACAAATTTTGACAGACGCGAAGGGGTATACAGGTCAAAAAGACGGTACAGTTTGTTGGAATTCTGATTTCTGTGGCTTAGTTTTACTACACCTTCTTGTATAGGACGATGTTGTTCACACAATGATTGGTTCATTTCACCACATTCACTTTCAACTGCAGTTTCAACTAAACCTAAAATGAACTGAAATGGTTAGGAAGATCCAGAGAAATTCGTTTTTTTAAACACCACAACTGCCATTATTCCATGAAGTTGAAAGTACCTTTAGTTTGCATTATATCTGATTTACTCTCTAATTATTTACTAACGTGGCCTCTGTATAGCAGATTGATTTACTTTGTCTTCATATAAAAAATGGTTTTCCTCACTGTGCAAAAAAAAGTAGCCAGACAGTTGCAGCTCTAATTTGAATGTATCTTTATAAGGTTTATGGTACTTTGTCCTAATAGTTTGTCAGCACGGGGCGCTCTGATGGCTTTGATGAGAAAAATATAAACTATCGTATTTGCAATCTTCGTCCGAACACGTTCGGTAGCGATCCGGTAGAAGACACATTCGCTCACATTGTGCTTTAGTTAATCTATTTTCTCACTGGTTAGTTCCTTCAAAACCTTCAATTTCATGTCATTTACCTTTAGTCCAGATCAGGCATTCAACCAACTCAAGCTAGGGCTCGGTGATCGGCAGCGAATATGTTCAGTAGCCAACCGTTCAGAAATCGAACATGTTCGGTAACAAACCGTTTGGTGACCGAAAATGTTCGGTGGCGAACCATTCGGTCACCGAATTATCGGTCCGGTGCATGCCTATAGATGACTCTTTTTTTCACCTAAGATTGAACCGAATCGCGTAAAGTGTAGTTTCGATATTTTTAAAAATATTTCAATGCTGGGATTTGTGAATTGTTGTGTACTTACTGTTATAGTTTATCCGCCCATCTAGAGCAAAGAAATAAAAAATATTAATAGGTTAAAAAGGTGATTTCTTCACTATCGCCTACCTACCTCCATCTATATTTGCTTCTCTAATCATTTCATCAATTTCTTCGTCAGTTAATTTTTCTCCCAAATTTGTCATTACATGTCTATAAGTATTGAGAAATAACTGAATATAAACTCAGTTGAAACAGCGAATAAGTATACCGTAATTCGTCAGCTGATATAAATCCATCCCCATCTCGATCAAATACACGGAATGCTTCGCGAATTTCTTCCTCATCATCCGAATCTTTCATTCTTCGTGACATTAAGCTTAAAAATTCTGGAAAATCAATAGTTCCGTTTCCTTTAAAAGAAACGACAACAATTTGGTCTTGGATCCATGACATCTAGGTACTTTATCGCAAGTCTGGCTCGTGAGCTTCACGATCAGTCTGGTACATATAATTCCCTATAATTCGTGATATGGATTCAGTTTTTGCTTGCATACATGTCTTTCGCATTCAAACACAAAGGGCTGTCTCTGAAACGCAGTATCACGAACATTGTTAAATAGAAACAATAAGTGCTTTTTGGATACCAAGTTATTATTGAGCCAGATTATTAACCAGAGTTTTAAAAAAAAAATTTAAAAAAATTTCGAAAAAAACTAAGGTTCACTTAACCACAAACTCCTAGGGTCAAGTCTCAGTCATGCAACATTCTTCTAAAAATTTATTCTTAACAGCCATTGCACGGTAGGGACCAGAGACCGAAACGGGTCAACCAAACGTGACCCGAATCCGACTCGACCCGAACGTGAGCTGACCCAAACACGACAAAACAGACGACTAGTTGTCATCTAGATTACTAGTTGGAAAAGGGACTTTCAACTAGATGCGTCTGCATGTGCAACTAGCAATAGTTAAATCGATCGAATATCGAGCGATAGGTCGATAGTTGCAACTAGATGAAATGTAGCAATCGCCCGATTACTAGATCACTGTCGTCACTCAATAGTTGCAATCGAGTAAAAATCTAGTAATCTAGATGAATCGGGCGATACTAGATTTTTTTTTGACGCTTGGGTGTAGCCGAAATATGAAAATGTTTTCGTACACATTCGTAAAGAAACACTTCTTTCCTATAGAAAAGTTATCTTACTCAGATTGTTTTGGAAAATGTTCTCAAGGGAATGGTCAGATTCCTTACGATCTTTGTAATTTTTTCGTTTTATGAGTGGAAAAGTTTGGATAATTCAGGCAGTTTTTCTTATATTGACCTGAGTTTGAACCAAAACGGGTCAACCAAACGTGAGTTGATCCGACCCGATCCAAATCAATATCTTTTACCTTGATCCGAACCTGACCCAACCAGGCATGGGCGAGTCCGAGTCCGGACTGGAAGATTTTTTGGCGGACTCGGACTGGAGATTTTTTTAAAGGACTCGGACTCGGACTTGAGTTTTTGTATTTCGAGTCCGATCGATTCAAGTTTTAAC